CAGCCCTTCTCCACCTCGTACCCCAGTGTGCCCCATCACACCCCACCTCCATACCCCAGTGTACCCCAGCCCTTCTCCACCTCGTACCCCAGTGTGCCCCATCACACCCCACCTCCGTACCCCAGTGTACCTCAGCCCTTCTCCACCTCGTACCCCAGTGTACCCCGTCACACCCCACCTCCGTACCCCAGTGTACCCCGTCACACTCCACCTCCGTACCCCAGTGTACCCTGCTCCTCCCCAACCTCCGTACCCCAGTGTACCCCACCTGTCCCCGGCTGACCGCTGTAACCCCGCCTGCCCTCCTCTGACCAGTGCACCCCCAGTGGTCCCCGCCCAGTCTCCCTGTGTGTTCTGACCCCAGCTCCCTACTCCCATCCTTCCCCCCAGTCAACAGATTCCTCTTGGCTTGGGGTGTGGTTCTGCCACGTGGAGGTGAGGTCACAGGGGTCGGGAGGAGGGCGGTGGGGGGAGCCGGGGCCCTTCAGCCTCACTGGGGGTGCTTCTGTGCCTTTGCTGCCCTGGCCTCAGGGGTTCTGAGAAGGCCCCTGTGCAGGTGGAGGGAGCTGCCCGGAGCAGGCAGGTGGGAGCCCTGGGCCTGGAGAGGGGCGTCCCCGGGGGAGCCCGTGGGAGGCAGAGCAGGAGGGGTGCTGTGGCTGCTCCAGGCTCCGGGGCCCATGTGGAGAAAGGTGGCAGTAGGAGCTGAGGACACAGGTCACCTAGTGGGGTCCACCGTTGAGCCCCACTGGCCTGAGGCCCACCCAGTACTGTCTGGCCAGTGGTGGAAGGTGAGCCTAGCAGAGCCTGGCGCTGCCTCCATCTGCCAGGGGGGGCACAGGGAGCCATGGGAACATAGGTGGCCTTGGGGACCTTCCCCCAGAGCCCAGAGGTGCAGACAAGCAGGCCGCCAGCTGAACATGAACAGCGGGAAGCATTTGCTTCAAGAGCCCTCGGGAGAGAAGCCGGGACCACAGCCCTCTCAAGAGCTGCCCTCCCCCTCACCCAGCCCAACTGAAGCCTTCGGCCAGAGGGGTGCCCAGAGCAGCAGTCAGCAGGTACTGGAGACTCAGGACTGGGTAAGCTGATGGGAGCCTGGCTTGGCCGCCCCAGGGCTCCCCTGCGGGAACCGTGGGAATTGGCTCTGGAGGTAGGCTGGTCAGGTGCGTGAGGATGGACAGGGCTGACGGGGGCCTGAGCACAACAGGGGCTGGGGTTGCGGCCACAGAGTCTTGGCTCTCTTCCCAGGAGCCTTGGGTGGGCAGCAGGGTGGACTTGTAGCCCTCCTGCCTCCCATAACTGTGAGCCATCTGCCTGTCCCTGCTGAGCACTTGGGTGGGGGCCCATGAGGCCAGGGAGAGGAGCCTGCTTCAGTCCTCACCAGCAGCCTCGCCCTGGGCTGGTAGGGCAGCACCACGTGCAGGGAGCCCCATCAGGGGAAGCTCTGCCCTCACGGTGAGGAGGGGCAGCGTCCTTCACACCTGGTCGGTGGGCAGTCAGCAGAAGGGCTGTCTCAAAAAGTCGTTCCTAGAGACCCTGCCCGTGACAGCCCCAAACTGGAGGCATCTCTCAGTCCTCCCCCGACAGTTGCTCAATTCCCACACAGCGGCCACCGTGGGAGTGGACAGGGCACAGCTATCCACTCGGGACACTCCATGAGTGAAGGAAGCCAGACGCCCAGGAATTCCCTGTGTGTAGGGGTCAGAGCCTGGACAAGCCAGGTGCACAAGATGCTAGTCATGTGGCTGGGTCAGTGTGTGGGACCCGAAAGAGCTGTGTACTCAGACAGGTTTGCTTCTATGTTCGCGTGGTCGAAGGCTGACGCAAAAAGGCAGTAGGAGTCCTGGCCGGTGTGGCTCAGTGGTTAGTGTGTCGGTTGGATTGCAGTCAAGGGCACATGCCCAGGTTGCAGGCTCAGTCCCCAGTAGGGGACGTGCGGGAGGCAGCCGATCAATGACTCTTTCATCGTTGTCTCCCTCTCTGCCTCTCCCTTTCTCACTCTGAAAATCAATAACGACATATTAAAAAAAAAAAAATGCTAAGAAAACCAGAGGATTCAAGTGTTAGCAAAGGTGCAAAGGTGCGAGGACCAGAGCCAGCACGCCCTGCTGGCGGGGTGGGGGGTGACTGCGCGGATGCTCGGCTGTCTGGGAAGGCCTCTTGGATGGACACAGAACAGACCTGCTGTCCCGTCAGTTGAGGTGAAAGCAGTGGCAACAAATGACCTACCCGACCAGAAGCCACAGGGAATGTCCCAGGAGCTCTCTAAGTGAGGGGCAGCGTTTTCCACCCTGCGGTACCGCTGGCCTGCAGGTCAGACCAGTGCAGGGCCTCGTGCAGCTTGTGGCGCGTCGGAGGCGCAGGGGCTGGAAAACGCAAACTGGAGCAGGCACTGTCCACACTCAGCTCAGGGCGCGGAGGAAGGAAACAGGACCTGTCAATCCTGTTTTACTTCTGGGAAGAAATCGGAAGCGAGTGTGGCATTGTTCATTTTGGATAGTGGATTCTTGATTTTT